CCTGTAGTGACAGCGAAACAATCATACGCAGCGAAGGTGACCTCAACGGTGTCCCCAGAAGAAACCGTGAGCCCCTCGCCCGGAGGGAGCGGTATGGAGACCGCGAGTCCCTCGCCCGGAGGGAGCGGCAAGGATTCCACAAGCCCCTCGACCGGAGGGAACGGTTGCGAAGGACCTCATCACACTGTAAAGCGCCCTGGAACTCAGATGGATCACGAGGGATTCCAGATGGCTAAGAAGGGGAAACACTCCGGTGCTTCCCCCGTCATTTTGACCAATGGGGACTTGGCCCCTGGTCAGAGGACCCCCGTTTGACCCCAGGAGGACGAGGCGATGTCCGATTCGTCGGAAGGTTTGCTCGTCATAGATGAGGAGGCCTGATGAGGGTGAGTGTATGATTTTCCGGTGATGAACTTTTTAAAAATCTTATTGACAATGGCGGCGGCACAACGATCCCTTTTCGACCTTATTTCGTCCATGGACTATGTTTTTCTAGCCTATATGGTGTTTTTTGTAATGGTTTACAGTTTAATTGCCCTTGATTTATATTTACTACCCTTTGTCAATGGTATTTCAGCCTTTTTAACTAGCCATATGGCTCATATCTTGTCATTCCGGTACAAATATTTATATCATGCATTGTTATCCTCACGCCACTTTTAATTTTTGTATTTACTATACGATCCTTACTATTCAAGATCGCCTGTTTTCTCTCTGTCATGCTTTGTTAGTATACGTCTGTCATTTTGTAGTGCAGAATGTCTCTAGTGTTTGTCTCAGTAATGTAAGCTTCTTTAGGTCATATTTGTTAGTTCTACAAGCGGGTGGTAACATAATTATTATGTTATCATGTTTCGCTGTGCCTACATATATGCATTATTCAAATATTGGAATGTTTTGGATTTTTTATTTCAGAATGTTCCATGATGATTTTTCTAAATTCATTCATTTTCCTTCCTTTTTTCACATTAAGCTAACACTACATTTACCTGTGCGGCGTTTACCTGTGCTGGTGTTCAGTGGTCTCGTTCTTGTTATAGCTCGCGGCTACGTGTACGCGCTCGTGCCTTCTTTTACCTGTGTTTTTGTCACATTCAGTGCCTCGCTATTTTCGGCCGTAAATACACTCACCTTTTTCCAAGTTGTGCTTACCTGTCCTGTTTTTATCGATGCGGTTGTTTTTCTCGCTCAGTCGTCCTTTCACTGTCACCCATTGGTTAGCGTTTTCTTCTTCCAATTATTGAATATCTGAAAATGAATAATAATACAATGAATATAATAACTTGGAACTGTAATGGGTTCTTATCAAAATCCAAACAGTATGAATTAAGTGATTTTGTACATAACAATAATATACACATTGTGCTGTTAACAATCATATATCTAAATATACACATTGAGAAATTTTTGTTACAAGAAACTCATATATCTAACCTTACTGTAGGCATGCGTATTGAGAAATTTTTGAAATGTAAGGCCATTTGGAATTTTGGTACACTTAAAAGTAGAGGCACCGCTGTGTTGTTTTTTATTGATGTAAAAATAGAGAAATTTGATCTGGATAGGGACGGTAGGGCTATGTTTATTGATTTCAGATACCTCGATAGTGAATATAGAATTGTCAATGTGTATGCTCCTAACATTGAAGGGGAGCGGCGGATATTTTTTGATAGCATCGTAAATCTTTTTTCGTGCAGAAGGCCTGTGATATTTGCGGGTGATTTTAACTGTATCGAGCAGAGTGCTCTTGATAAGGTAGGTGGTAATCCAGACCGTGGACTTGCTGGGTGTAATTTGATACAAAATATTTGTCATGATTTTAAGTTGTTTGAAACCTTTCGATCAATGTTCCCTGATATACTTTCGACCACGTGGCGTGGCAATGGTGTTTCATGTCGTTTAGATCGTTTTTATATCTCTTGTTGTTTGAAACAATATTTACTAGAGAATAAGGTTTTTCCGTCTGGTTCCTCAGATCATGATTTTGTATTTTTAAAAATTAAATTATTTTCAGAAGCGAGGTTTGGTCCTTCTTATTGGAAATTGAATAATAGTGTGTTACAAGATAGGGCTTTTCAAATATCTTTTAAAGAATTTTGGCTTGATTTGGTCAAAGATACACCTGTATTGTTAGATAATTGGGATGACTGTAAAACTGTTGTTAAATTTTTCATCATTGAATATTGTAAGAAGAAGGCCAAGGTCAGGCGCAGTGTGTTAAAATCCTTACAGTGCAAGTTTAATAAATTACACGTCTTAGAGAAGCAGTCACCGGGTAATTTTTTGGACCAGATTAACTCTATTAAAAATCAAATTAATAATTTCCATCTTGATAGTTCCCGGGGATCTATGATAAGATCGAGAGCCAAGTTTTTAGATTTTTCAGAAAAATCATCAAGATTTTTTTTCAAAATGGAGGATGATCGAAGTAAGAAAAAAATTATAGAGAAAATTGATTTAAATGAGTCTTCCTCAGTTTCGGATAATAGTAGTATTTTAGCTGCGTTTAGGGATTTTTATTCTAAACTTTTTTCTGAGGAGGATACTGATTCTGTTTTAGCTAACTCTTTTTGTGAAGACCTTCCAAAATTAAATGAATTAGACCGTTTTTTGTGTGAGGGGCCAATTAGAAAAGAGGAAGTATTGTTTGCTCTAAAACACATGAAAAATAATAAATCTCCTGGTTGTGATGGACTTACGAAAGAGTTTTATTTTACATTTTTTAATATATTAGGAGATCAATTGGTTTCTCTGTATAATGAAATATTTGAACGAGGTGAATTATGTTATACTCAGAAAATGTCGTATATTTCTTTATTCTGTAAGGACCCCAGTAATTCAACCAATATGAAGAACTGGCGGCCTATATCACTGTTGAATATCGATTACAAGATATTGTCTAAAGTTATTACTAATAGGTTAAGTAAAGTAATTGGTAATATTGTTCATACTGATCAAACGTGTGCTATTAAGGACCGATCTATTTTTGAAAATTGTCATTTATTGCGTAATATTGCTGATTATGTTAATCAGAAAGATTTAAAATGTGCCTTTGTATCACTCGATCAAGAAAAAGCTTTTGACAGAGTAAATTATAGTTTTTTATTTAAAGTGCTCAAAGCTTATAATTTTGGCCCTGAATTTATTAAGTGGGTCAGTATTTTATATAATGATGTCATGTCTTCTGTTATTGTTAATGGGTTTATATCTGACCCCTTCCCCATCACTCGTGGTGTAAGGCAAGGCTGTAGTCTATCTCCCCTTTTGTACGTTTTGGTTTTGGAACCCTTTGCTAAAAAAGTTCGCGACGACCCTGAAATTATTGGTATGAAATTACCGGGTTCCTCCGACTCAGCTAAAATTTCCCTTTATGCGGATGATAGTACTGGTGTTTGCTGTACAGATTCTTCCATTAAAAAGTTATTTTATTGGTGCGATATTTATGGCAAGGCGTCAGGTTCAAAACTTAATTTGAGTAAAACCAAAGGCTTATTTTTGGGAAAATGGAAATCACGCTCTGATCACCCCTTTGGTATAAGCTGGGTAGAAAAGTTGAAAATATGTGGTATTTGGTTTGGTTATAATATTACACCTGACGATATTTGGCAGCCAATATTTCGGAAATTCTCCAGGACCTTAGATTCATGGAAAGTTCGAAAATTATCACTGACACAAAAATCTTTAGTTACAAAGGTCCTGGCGTGCAGCAAGATTTGGTACACTGGTACTATTGTTATAATGCCTAGCCATTATTTAGATCTTTTTCAGAGAACTTTATTTCGATTTTTATGGCATTCTTCGGCAGAGCCACTTGCGCGCTCGACAGCATATACAAACCCGACGAGTGGTGGTCTTTCTATTGTTAATATAAAGGCAAAGTTACATTCTCTTCATATGAAACATTGTCAACAATTTTTGTATGGTCACTCTGAGGCGAAATGGAAGGTATTCACCATGTATTGGTTGTCTTTACAACTACGAAAATTTCTTACTTTTGTAGATAATAATGCTCCTCATAGTGAGGGATGTCCTACTTTTTATTCATATGTTAATAAAGTTTTTCAGTACTTTGTTAAGGAATTTCCGGATTTTAATCTGGAGTCCTCAACTACAAAAGATTTTTACATAAAAGTGTTATCAAAAGATATAAAGGAACCTCGTATTGTGAAGGTGTTTCCGACAGTAGATTTTAAGCATGTATTTTTGAATGTTTCCAATGGGTTCTTGGATACCTATTCCCGTGATGTTGTCTTTAAAATTGTACATGAAATTTTGCCTGTTAATTTCCGGATGCATAGATTTGGCATTAATTTGTCAAAAAATTGTACTTTTTGTGATGGTTTTGAAACTATTCCACATTTATTTTTTGAATGTGCTCTTGTTCAGCCTTTGATCTGCATTGTTGGTTCATGGATAAAAAAGATTTCTAACGACAAAATTCCCTCTAATTTGGCTCTTTGGCGTTTTCATTCTCCTGTTAGCATAACCTTTAAGATGAAGTCACTCGTTCTTTACCTATTGTCAGAGTCCCTATCCTCCATTTGGTTTATCCGTTGTGCCAAGAAATTTGAAAAGAAAACTGTTACGTCGGATTCTCTTGTTTGTCATTTGTTAACTAAGATTGTAGTTCGTATTCAATCCGACTTTTCCCGTTTTTCTTTGGCACGATTTATTGAGTATTGGTGTACCACAGATATATTTTGTTCTATAAAGAATGATGAACTTGTTGTCAATTTGCCATTATAGTCATTAATTATTATTCCTAACTATGATAAATTCAAGGCATAAGATATTGTTTATATCAGGTAATTTGTGTTCATATGTCTAATGGCATTTATTAACAATTGTACTGCTGGATCAAATGTATTAAATCAGTATTGATGGCGTCATTAGGATATTTCCTATGACGTTTTTAATTTGTAATTATATGAATAAAATTTTATGAAACAAAAAAAAAACCTTATACATTGGTGACTTTTGACCAGTATGGATAAATATATATTGATATCGAAGTTCTTCGAAGATCGGTACGATTCAATATTTCTGGAGCCAGACGGAACTCTGTTACCCGGTTTGAAGTTGCCAAGGCATTGATGGACTCAGGATTGGACGGAGCTGAAATACAGTCTATATTTAGGTGTGAGGCCCCGAACGTGTGGTTTGCAACGGTGACGTCACCGGAAGTGGTGGATTCTATTGTTTATATATATATTTATAAACTACATAACAATTACATTAACAGTAGAGAGATGAAATTTGTGTAAAAAAAAAAAAAAAGATTCCTCTGATTTCTGACATTTGATTGTCATGGTTACCTACTGAAAAAATGCTAAAAATGCAAAAATACTGCTAATTCCAACCTTCCAGAAGAAATTTAATTCTTAACACCTATCTTACAATCAACAACACTGTCAGAATGGTGGTAAAGCTAGCAACATTTTTTTCATTGTAATCTCCAACACAAAGCTAAAATATTATCCTGAAAAAAATGAAACCCCACATTGTCCACTTAAACATGACAGGACCAATTTTAGCAACATTTTTTCATGCACCCTGAAAGATGTGATAGACGGAGGTTGACAGTCAGGGTACTTTGGCTTCCGACTTGGATATCGTATGATTCCATTGCCATTCATTTTGACTATTTCGGATCAGTGATAAACATTAGCCGGGAAACGACGTCTGTGGGAGGTATGGCCTTGGAAACAGGAACGAGGGTATTGACATTGATAATAAGGGAGGGTGACCAGGACATAATTCCTCACAGGGCGGTTTTATTTGGGAAGTCGGCCCTTATTGTGGTTCCTGGTCGTCCCCCGATTTGTTTGCGGTGTCAGCAAGTAGGCCACGTCAGGTCCCAGTGTCCCGGGAGGTCGGAGACAGCGGCTCGGGCTACCTATGCCAAGGTAACCCAGCCTCTGATTTCTGACATTTGATTGTCATGGTTACCTACTGAAAAAATGCTAAAAATGCAAAAATACTGGTCAACAACACTGTCATGGTAACAAAGTACTTATATTTCAGCAAAACTCGGAAATAGAAAATTTCACTTCCTGTAAAGAGTTTTTGGTGCGTAGACACGGATTTGCCCAAATAGCGACTTCGTCCTCGTCGGGTGCCCCGAGTCAGCCTGTGGGAGATCCTAAGAGACCGTCGGAGGAGGCTGCGAGCCCCTCTTCGGAGGAGGCCGCGAGCCCCTCGACCGGAGGGAGCGGTAGGGACCCCGCGATTCCCTCGCCCGGAGGGAGCGGCAACGAGAATCTCACTCGTGCTACAAAGCGTTCGGTTCCCTTGGTGGACGATGAGGGGTTTCGAGTGTCAAAGAAGGGGAAGCACTACGGTGCCTCCCCCATTATTCTATCAGATGGAGACATAGCCCCTGGACAGAGGACCCCCGTGGACTCCCAGGAGGATGATGTAATGTATGACTCGTCTGAGGACCGGTTAGTAATTGACGAGGAGGCCCCCTGTAAGTAAGTCCGGTTTTTGATTCGTTTCTGGTAATGGACTTTTTTATTATCCAATTGATCATGGCGGCGGCACTGCGTTCCCCTTTTGACTCCCTTTCGTCCACGGACTTTGATTTTCCAACCTATATGGTGTGTTTCGTAATTATATACGGTTTCGATTTATATTCTTTTAATATGTATACATAGTCTTTTCTTAAATAGTCATATTTCTTGTATGTTGTTAGTCGGAACAAATACTTTTTCACAAAACCGGTCTTGGTTATCCCAATTTAACACGTATTGTCATCTTGACGTTAGTTTTAATTTTTGTATTTACTATACGATCCTTACTATTCAAGATCGCCTGTTTTCTCTCTGCCATGCTTTGTTAGTATACGTCTGTCATTTCGTAGCGTTTTCTTCTTCCAATGTCTATTGTGAATAATAATACAGAATGTCAAAATTATGTGTGATTTTGTACATAACAAAATATTTGTCATGATTTTAAGTTGCCATTTGGAATGTAAGAAATTTCTGGATAGGGACGGTGGCAGTTTATTGTCATTTGGGTGTAGGCCTGTGATATTTGATAACAAAATATTTGTACATTTGATTTTAAGTTGTTTGAAACCTTTCGATCAATGTTCCCTAATATACTTTCGACCACGTGGCGTGGCAATGGTGTTTCATGTCGTTTAGATCGTTTTTATATCTCTTGTTGTTTGAAACAATATTTACTAGAGAATAAGGTTTTTCCGTCTGGTTCCTCAGATCATGATTTTGTATTTTTAAAAATTAAATTATTTTCAGAAGCTAGGTTTGGTCCTTCTTATTGGAAATTGAATAATAGTGTGTTAAGAGATAGGGCTTTTCAAATATCTTTTAAAGAATTTTGGCTTGATTTGGTCAAAGATACACCTGTATTGTTAGATAATTGGGATGACTGTAAATCTGTTGTTAAATTTTTCATCATTGAATATTGTAAGAAGAAGGCCAAGGTCAGGCGCAGTGTGTTAAAATCCTTACAGTGCAAGTTTAATGAATTACACGTCTTAGAGAAGCAGTCACCGGGTGATTTTTTGGACCAGATTAACTCTATTAAAAATCAAATTAATAATTTCCATCTTGATAGTTCCCGGGGATCTATGATAAGATCGAGAGCCAAGTTTTTAGATTTTTCAGAAAAATCATCAAGATTTTTTTTCAAAATGGAGAATGATCGAAGTAAGAAAAAATTATAGAGAAAATTGATTTAAATGAGTCTTCCTCAGTTTCGGATAATAGTAGTATTTTAGCTGCGTTTAGGGATTTTTATTCTAAACTTTTTTCTGAGGAGGATACTGATTCTGTTTTAGCTAACTCTTTTTGAAGATCTTCCAAAATTAAATGAATTAGACCGTTTTTTGTGTGAGGGGCCAATTAGAAAAGAGGAAGTATTGTTTGCACATGAAAAATAATAAATCTCCTGGTTGTGATGGACTTACGAAAGAGTTTTATTTTACATTTTTTAATATATTAGGAGATCAATTGGTTTCGCTGTATAATGAAATATTTGAACGAGGTGAATTATGTTATACTCAGAAAATGTCGTATATTTCTTTATTCTGTAAGGACCCCAGTAATTCAACCAATATGAAGAACTGGCGGCCTATATCACTGTTGAATATCGATTACAAGATATTGTCTAAAGTTATTACTAATAGGTTAAGTAAAGCAATCGGTAATATTGTTCATACTGATCAAACGTGTGCTATAAGGACCGATCTATTTTTGAAAATTGTCATTTATTGCGTAATATTGCTGATTATGTTGATCAGAAAAACTTGAAATGTGCCTTTGTATTGCTTGATCAAGAAAAAGCTTTTGACAGAGTAAATTATAGTTTTTTATTTAAAGTGCTCAAAGCTTATAACTTTGGCCCTGAATTTATTAAGTAGGTCAGTATCTTATATAAGGATGTTCTGTCTTCTGTTATTGTTAATGGGTTTATATCTGACCCTTTCCCCATCACTCGTGGT